GCCGCTGCGGCGGACCGACTCGTGTGTTATATTCTAATGGACCGTCTCGCGTTGACTTTCCTATTTAGGATTAAGCTGAAGTGCTATTACTTAAGCGGGCCTTAAATTCAGTTCTTAATGCTCATCCACGATGGGCCACTCGTTTTAGTATTGTCTCGGTTGTGCATTTGACTTGCCCCAGTGTGACCTATTATAAGAATCCTATTAATGGATGTTATAATTGTTAGACGTTTTTCAAAAAGCGAAACGTATATCCTTTTAAATGTCGCTTACTAAATCGAAGCGTTTATTAATGTAGGTAAGCAAATTTTTTTTCTATACCAATCGCTATACGGGAACGGGCAAAAGCAATAATATGATGTTAATTTTATTACCATATTATTTTTTATATTATATCAATAGAAATCTTAAGCTATTTAAGGAGTTTACACTATATTCAAGTAGCGGTGCGACCGCGAAGTTATTCTGGCTATTTAACGGTTGCCCATAAGCGGGCATTCATCGTCTTGTTATATTTATTCGTTAGATAGGGAATTCTGAGTTTCCTGTAGCTAATTGTATTTATGTTATATCCTATGAGTGGTGCGGAATGACAACAGGCGGGTTGAGAGGACTGGCAAGAGATTGTGATCTGTCGTCGGTCAACGACATATAAATATTGACTGAATCTCAGTGTAGATGCATTTGTAACTCTATGAGGCCTTTGCAAGATGGATAATTATTAAGGATTTGTGATGTATTAACGGATAGCGCCTAAGGAAACATACGAAAAGATTTTTTTTTTATACTAGACTAGTTGATCTATTTACGGAGATTGTTTTTTTATACTTAGATATATTCTATTGTCTGATTTAATATAATTTTATATTTATGTGACGTATGTATATGATTTATCAGTGTTGTTTGTTTTTATTGATCCAACCTATATGGTAACACTTGGCGACTTGGTCACGTTCAGTCGGCAGTCGATACCCGCGGGTGGCAGTCGTTGCCGTTGTTGACGTGTTTTATAATTTTATCGTTGGTAGATGTTTTTAACGTTTAGTTGTGTCAAAAGGGTCGCCAGAGCCCACATGTGAACGGTGCTTGAGGTCGAAGACCTCTTTTCAATTATTTTAAGGTAGGGTGGAACGTTCGAGGGTTGCGCATTTAGTAACTAATATTGGCATTCTACGATTGGGACTAACCTAGCGTTTATGTATGTATTTTCAATTTAAGATTTAAGATTGTTACATTTTTAGCTAAACACTTAGAGTGGTACGGTAACTGAAATGTGATAAAATGGAATGGTGCTAGAACCAAGAGTGTTAACACGCTACGATTCGACTCCTATTTGTAATATTAATGTTTTAAATGATTAGTTACTTTGCATTGTTTGTAAGGCGTCTAGCATCCAGTTGCGGTCGCGTCCATTCGGTCGACGCACGCGTACGTCGCGTGCACGTCACGCGCTCGTCACGCGCACGTCACACCACTAGAGATTACAGTATCACTCGAAATTTTAACCTTCATTTTTATTCATTTAAATTGACGTAATATATATTATAGAGTTTTTTTATAATTTACAAATCGAATCCAACTCAGCCAAAAAGTAGTTGTCAGTGTATGTACCGTTTCTTTAGTTTTTCATATTTCCTAAGTTGTTGCGGCGATGCTGTTTTAAGTAGCTGTGAACATGCAATTTCACTTGTGCAATTTTTTTTAATAGTCATAACTCATAACTAGATTTACATTTGCTTATTAAATATAGGGGCCCACTTGATATAAGCACTAAGCTCCTGTGTCCCAAAAGGGTATGCAAATATCACCAAACGTTTCTTCCACAAAGATTTTTTATATTTATTTTAGTGTTAATAAAGATTTTTATATACCTTACCAGTCGTACGTCGTGGGCGCTTATTATTTGATAGCATTTCATACTCAGTGCAATATTACTAGTTATTTAATTACGTAACCAAACTAAAGGATATTATAAAAGTAATAAATGTCTCCGAAAATGGAGTCAATACTTCTTTATTTACATAGTGAAGTACTTCTCATTTTTACATCTACCAATCAACTTTATATGTCAGTTAATATCTTTTTTGTGTTTTACATAAGTATAGAATTCTTTAATTTAATTTATACAAAGAGAATTTATACTTTGTTTTCTATTTAAAAGTTAATAATTTTACTTTCTACCTCCAAATAGCGGCTTTTATAAAAGCAAGTGTAATTTTTTCTTTAATGTCTTAAGAAGTACACACTTCTTTTAGTTTCTATTTTAATATTTTACCTTGCAATAGAGTAAATCTTTTCTAATTTCAATTTTATTGTTAAAATAATGTTTATCTTTATAGCAACTAGGTAAGAAAGAGAGACAGACAGAGAGCGAGAGAGTGAATAGGTTGTTTTTATATTGAACAGAAGTACTTCTCCTATCTTGTATGTAGGTAGCGAAGGCAGTTTGGGTTACGGTGTTGTACAGGTTTCATAGCTGGTAATATTAAGGATTAGCTTGTTTACCTCTGCCAATCGTAATAGTTAATGTTTAATAATTTATTATTGTCGCGCAATTCAAAGTCTATTGTTGAATAGATCATAGCTATCCGACGCGGGCGGGCAAAATTGAAACTTCATCTAATCGTGAATGCATTTGTTTTGTTACTGTCACTCGAGACCAATTTTGAATATTGAATTTGCTATAGCAAATCGATCGATTAGTAATATAGATTATTTTAGATATTTTAGGTTAGGATACTATGATAGTGTCTGGCCAGAATATTTTGGAGTATCACATCGTTTGGCTCAGAAAATATCACCCCTTTGATCTCTTTTCAGCTTTCAGAAAGTGTGCAACTTAATAAATATATGATGACCACGTAATTGGACTTATTGAAAGCTAACATTATGCCATATGGATTTACACATAAGGTTAACGAATTACTAAATTTAGTCTTATTGAAAATAAGGTCTTTATGACCTAGTCACTTATTTGGCCAATCTAATTGAATATTCCAATTTATTGTATAATAATACGGCCTCTTAATATCACGGCGATGTGGTGTTGTGCGGAATTCAATGGAGTGCAGGACGAGCTCTATGGTTATTTCAGGATAGCAATGGTCTAGTTATGTTTATTTTGTTTATTTTTAACATTAGCCAATTTGTTATAGTGTCGTGTATCAATAGTATAAATACTAATAGGAGGGGGTGTCAAATCGTATACCTAACAACTATTCAATCGCTGTTGTTATATTTTTAAATAAAATTTTATGAAAGATTTGTTGTGTCTATTATATATTTTTAAATAATCTTGGTTTGATGCCTCCATTAAAAGTTTAATTTTGATTTTTTTTTGTTTTATGCAATCAGTTAATGCAATTTTTTTTATTTCACATTGATGTTATGTAATGCAATTTTAACATGTTGCAAACTCCTGCATTTATCTGTTGTATTTATTACTAATTTTTACATTAAATTGTGCTATGTTACAATTCGTGTAGTTTCAGTTGTGCGTCACTCGACCCATCCTCATTGTATGTCGGTTACTCCGGCTTGTGACACATCTAGATGTCATTACACGGAGCAGCAACACTTCATGTCAGAGCATGCATGCGCCCATACTAAAGAATAGAACTAAAAGTATTGCTGATCTTAACAAACCTCCAGAAGTCAATGTCAATAAATAAACGCCCAAGATTTGGAGACCGATAGAGTCAAAATAATTACCCAATTTTGACAAAGATTTAAATTAATCTTTTTAAAGTATAAAAAATGCTCTGTCGTAACTTCAATGTTAATTTAACCATTGGCAACGGTTTTGTTATACAGTTATACAGATTATAATTTGAAAAGAAAAATTATAAAAACCAAAATTTAATTAACAATTTTACTTTGGGTCGAAAAGAAAAATTTTATGACATGATTTCTACCGTTGAGTAGATGACATTATACGTTCCGTTTAGTAGGAACCCCTGGAAAAATTACCAATTACTGAAATATATAAATATCCGTAAGAATACGTAAATTCTTTGTTCAATTTTTTTAAAAGCGCCTGGTAATCAGAAATAGTTGGGGAAAATTTTAATCAATCTTACATATTGCTTATACATTTTGTAAGGCTTGCTAAATTGAGCGTAATGTATCCACATTAATTTAAATCTTTGTTAAGATATGGTATTCGATTAAATTTTATACCAACCGGTCCCAAGCCTTGGCGGCTACAAAGCTTTGCGCGGACGAGGAGCATGTAAGGTGACGGCGAGGCGT